GAATCAGAAAAACTTTGAGCAAAACTGGCTAGCCTTGATTCGACCGCTCTGAGTTTGCTGTTGAAGAACCGATCGACTTTGAAATAGCAATCTGATTGCTTGATAAACAGATAATCGAGATGGATCTAACGCGGATACCGTGACCATGGCCAACTGTGTCCGTTGAGCGGCTTTCTTAGACCCGAAGGACGAATACTCAATTAGTCATCACTTATTTAAATAGCTTAACACTTAAGAGACATACCAAAACACCTACGAATTAACACAAAATGCCATTCAGAACGTGGAGAAAACAAATTTCTGCTCGGCTTCCTACGAAGACATTGATATTCTAATTGATTTTGTGATAGTACTGCTGTTGTGTTAATTTTTAAGTAAAATGGCCTTGAAAATCTCAAAGAACTTTGTAAAAGTTGATAACGGTAAGTACGTTTAAACGTTGAGATATTCTGTGAAAAGAAAATTGATTTCTCCTCATATTAATTGAATACCTTGTATGATCCATTGTTTTAGCTTGTTTGTATCGTAAACTGTTAAAGTGAAGGAGAAGTGTAATGCGATTAGATCGCACTGTATAAGAAATCACAAAAATTTTAGAAAAATTAGCGAAGAGTTCATCCACACATTTCTGTTTTATGTTTTGCAGTGGGAGGATAGTATATCGCAACAAGTTTAGAAAACTTGTGGGCCCCTTGTGTACGACCTTCATTACTCATTGAAAAACACGACAAACTTTTATTTGCCATTCATTTACGAGACGTACTACCAGGAAAAATTTCAACTTGCACAGACAAATTAAGGAATCAAACAAAGTGGCAATTATTCCACTTTACGGAACTTAAAACCGCTTGACCAGCACCGTGGGAAAGCCTTGTAAATACAATTAAGATAAGTCTAATCGTACATGGTATAATTTGGAATTAAAATACAATTCCGCAGATGGATGTCTCGTAACCTAAGTAAGGTATTCATGAAAAAAAAAGTTCAACAGGTCTTTTCCTAACATATAACATGCTATGTACATCATCTTTGCGAAAAAGGGTGAAACGAAAAACATTTTTTAAGCTTGCTATAGGTACAAATTGAGGTAATTCCAGCCAGTGAGTCACATTTGCATTTGCGTTTTCCAGCCTCAAACAGAAACGTCAATTAATGGTGGGTATTTGAATCCAGAACCGAGTAATAAATTCTCTAAACAAATGATGTTTTCATAAACTACTTCAATCAACATGGACTGATCTTAAGAACGCAGTAAACATTTATGAGGGTCCCCAATAGGGTTATTCAATCCCGCCTTCCCGACCGGAATTTTCTCTCAATCCCGAGATCCCGACGGTTTCTACCGGCTAATCCCGATCCCGGTCATATTTTCTTAATTCCTTACCTCAGCAAAAATGATCCTTGAAGCTCCGTTTCAGATTCCCTCACAAAAGACTCAAGCACTGACTATTACGTTGAATTAGCT